CGTCACTTGTGGACGCGCGTTCACGACAGTATCATGACGCGAGCGTGTGGCGGCGCAGGCGCTGACCCAGATCCGGCGTAATGATGTCATGAGACGAAAATGTGGAATAAAGTCGTTATTTTTGTTTTCTTTGCGCAAAAAAGTATTTTCGTAGCTTCGTAACTTTACAGTTGAACCACTGATGTCACATGGAATACTTTGTCGATCATCTTGGTACTTTTCTGGACCTTGAACGTGGTAGTTACCTTGCTGTCTATGGGAGGGTCAGAGAGCCCTCAGATTCCATCAAAAATATCTTAAATTGTGTTCCGAAGATGAACGAAAGTCTTACGGGTTTGGAACAACACGAGGGTGAGTAATTAATGACAGAATTGTCATTTTTGGGTGAACTAATCCTTTAAAACCGATTGTTCCCTAAAAAACAATAAATAAACAATATCAAAACAATAAAACTATTTTCATCTTACTTTGTCTCTTAATCTGAGCAGGTTCAGTCGGTCTCTGTGCCGCTGCTCCATCGTTTTTGGGATTCAGGATCACGTATTTTGTCTTGAGGGTCTCCAGCTGGTAGCTGAAGCCTTTGCTGGCAGGTTCAAACTCGATCTTCTGCAGAAGCACTTTCTTGGCGGATGAAGCCAGCAACTTGTTCAGGTCGCCCTCGTCGCTGGAGTCCTTGCGGCCCGGCTTCAGGGCCTCTTTGAGCTTGTCTACTATCGGCATTGTGTGTCACTGATCAAGAAAACCAAAGATTAAAGAACAAAAATGAGGAAAACGACTCGGAAAGGGTTTCGAACAACACGAGGGCGAGTAATTAATCACAGAATTTTTGGGTGAACTAACCCTTTAAATCTGGTTGTTTTCACATGAAAATGCTTTCAACCTAAGTCACAGGTGAGACTAACCCCTCCGCCAACTCCCCACACAGCCACGGCCTCTATACACTTTGTATCCATCCCAGTATAACACTCCACCTCAAGCGGCTCGGTCACGCTCGGAGGGCAACGGTACAGCACGAGATGATGCATGACGTCAATGTTTGTGATCACCGGCTCAATCTGGACATAAAGTAAGTCAGAGATGAAGATGATTGACAGATCGCTGGATAGATCATGTGTGTTAAGTTCATAGACTCACTTACGCGATAAATGTGCTGTTTGCGATCAAATGTTGGGGCTTTCATGATCTTGCAGTGATAGTAGGTATGGTTGGCTGGTACAGTGAACTGAAATGATTTGTAAATGTAAGCAACATGTAAAGTTACACTCATTAGCACTTTAAAGAGATTAACCAATAATATAATCTATGCAAACTATGGGGTAAACTATATTATGGGCTCAGTAAAAGTTTTTTTGTTTTTGTTTTTTTAATATAAAAAGTAAATCAATAAAAAGAAATGTATATTTTTCAACAAGGACACATTAAATTGACCAAAAGTGACAGAAAAGACATTTAAAATGTTACAGAATATTTTTCTATTTTAAATGCTGCTCTTTTGAGTTTTCTATTCTTCAACAAATTCTGAATAAAGATGTTACTGTTTTCACAGAAATATTTAGCTGCTGTTTTAAATGTTGCTCTTGAAATGCCAGCAACAGAAAACTGGGTTTACACACAGAACAGCAAAATGACAAAGTAAAATCTTTCTTACATTGACCATAGTTATGTCAAAAAAGTTGCTGTTTGGAAGGTTGACCCGAGGCATGTACTTCAACAGGTTCAGCTGCTTTGTGCCTCTTCGGGTGCTGTGGTACATGATTTCATCGGTCTGTCCGTACGCATAGATCAGCTTCATGGGGAGATTCTGATGATGCAATAAAAACACTTTTACTTGATGTCTTTACTTGAAATGAGAAGCTCTTTGGCCGCATGCACACTGCAGTTAAATATTGTCACTCATAAAAGTTTGCTGTGTGTATGTGGCTCATCTGGCCATCGATAACTCATTTTAGCTATTTTTGATTTATTTTGAAGGTTTTTTAAGTCGGTCAGTCAGACAGTCCATGTTTTCAGTTTAAGGAGGGTTTTGAAGTGCAGTTGAGAGCTCCTTGACAAACAAGATCAGCCGTTTTTAAGGCCACACTCTTAAAAAAAAAAAAAAAGGTGCTTAAAAGGTTCTTCCCAGCGATGCCATAGAAGAACCATTTTTGGTTCCACAAAGAACCATTCAGTTAAAAGGTTAAGAAACCATCTCTTTCTTACCTTTTTATAATCTGAAGAATCTTCTTTTGCCACAAAGAACCTTTTGTGAAACAGAAAAGTTCTTCAGATGTTAAAGGTTCTTTATGGAGCCATTTAGACAAAAAAGGTTCTTCTATGGCATCGTGAAGCACCTTTATATTTAAGAGTGTAATAATATCTGACTGGCATATAACTGAACAAATCAAACAAACGTAAACGGGTAAAGGCGGGGCTCATGGGCTGCAGCCCAGCCTAGCCCAATGGTAAGTCTGGCCATGCTCAAAGCATATTTTAATGTTTGTGAATTTTGTGTTACTCCATAATGATGTTCTAGTTGAGAGCATTTGTAGTGTATAGGTAGAGCCCAAACATAACCTCAAGCCCAGGGGTCCCCGGCCCTCCAAATCCTGCCCTGACTGTCGCTGTTTTCAGGCTAAAACAGTGAAAGGGGAGGGCTACATTGCTGGTGCTGAACTACTTTTCCTTTGTAATGAATATTAAAAAAAAACAATGCTAAAACTCACAGTGATGGGTAAATCATTTTCATCACAGGAACCAATGGACCTCTGAAACTTCATGACTGTTTTCCCATCAGACTCTTTCAGAGACAGGAGTTTGTAGTTCTGTTGCTTGTCAACCAAAGGAATTGATTTTCCCACAGCATGACGATCCTAAATACAGAAAAACAGAAAAGAGAAATGAAGCATGTATGTATGCTTTATGATGTTGTAGTTATAGATGTACAGATCCCAGTGCAGTTAAACTGGGCTATCAATTTAACACTTTGACAATCAATAGTTCAAAACACAAGAATATCAGATGTCTATGTCAGACAGATATATATATCAGATATTTGAATAAAAATAATATAAAGAATTAAATATCAAAAAATATACAATTATTTGTAACTCAACTGTAAGTGACAGTTATCAGTCTCAATCTTGAGGATGTGAACAACTAAGAAACTCAAATATAAGATAAAATATAACTAAATAGGAAATATGAATGTGAGTCAAAAACATAAAGAACAAAATATCAAAAGAATATAAAATTAATTGTAATTCCACTGTAAGTGACTTTGATAGTTATCAGTCTCAGTCTTTACCGTGAAGTAAATGCCTTTGGGTCCAACTCCTCCAATGACGATATCGGCTCCAGTCATTCCTCCTTTGGGGCTGAAGCCAAAACCGACCCAGCCGCTGGTGTTGACCGTGAGCTCGAACAAGATTGTGCCCTTGATCTTATCAAATCCCCACTTCAGCCGCACCTTGTGCTCGAGGTCCAGGTGTTCAGAGAAAGGCAGAAGAGGGTCTTCCTGAGCCCAGGACCACTGGACTGAAAGCAAAAGCAGAACAAGAGATAATATGACCATGTTTGCTTTTCAAAATCTGACAAACAGTGTCTTTGTAAGGTGTTTGAGAAGGCAGTGACATGAAACTGCTCTGTAGTCACTTTAACAGCCCTCTTT